CAAGAGTGAGGAGGAGGAAAGCAGCTCAGGATATGGTAACCAGGAAGCAGAGAGAGCTCTGCTCACCAGGGACAAAATATAAACTCCAAAGGCCTCCCCATGCCCTCGCAGTGACCCACCTCCTCTAACAACACCAAATTAATACATATCAATGGATTAATTCACTGATTAGGTTATAACTCTCACAATCGTAACCATTCCAACTCCAAACAATTCTTATATTGCCTCATGCATGAGTTTTTGGGATATATCTCATATCTGAACCAAATTAGTAATTAATACAAATGCAATCCATATGATCGGAATGGTCTTGGTTTAAAGACTCAGATAATTAGAATTCTTGTCTCATCAAAGGCCTCCATGGTAATCTTGCAAAAATCTGGCAAAATTAGCTTGTAAAAAATGTGATGTAGAAATTTTAGAAGTTAAAAATTTTATAATCACAAAATTAAAATTTAGAAGTTGTCTATGTCTGTCATTTTCTGCTGCTATAACAATATCACAGACTGGATAATTTATAAACAATAGAGGTTTGTCTCAAGTTTCTGAAAGCTGACAAGTCCAAGATCATGAAGCCAGCATCTGGTGAGGGCTTCCATGCTGTGTCATAATATGGTGGAAGGGCAAGTTAGCATGTCTGAAACAGAGGAGAAAAAGGTAGGATAAATTACCCCTTTTATTAAAAACCCACTCTTGTGATAACTAACCCTCTCCTGTGATAACAGCATTAATGTATTCATGAGGGCAGACCATGCTCATGATAATGACATTATCTCTGAAAAGTCTCACCTCTTAACACAGTTACCATGGCAACTGAATTTCAACATGAGTTTTTGAAGGGACATTCAAACCATAACTTTGAATAGATAGTGCAATATGCAGCAAGAAAAGGCAGGCAGTGTACAGTCTTTATATATATAAAATAATCAGCTCTGAAGATCCTTTAGAATAAATGAGTTATTCTGTTTCCCTGAGTTTGTTAAAAGAAATGAACACTCTGGTTAAAAGGTAAATATGAAATCTTAAAAGTATTGTCCATCTACATATTTCATTTTCTAAATCTTTATTTTTCTAGAATGTCTTAAGAGTATTCAGGACACCAACTAGAGAAAAATAGATGATTTTTGAGGTAGGTATGTCCCATGCCACATATAATATAAATAACTTAAGGTTACCTGAAATTCAAGTTTAACTGGGTACCTTATACTTTGTCAGGCAACCTCACTCTGGCTTTCCACCCAGGAGTCAGTGGGAACATCCACAGGTGATGCAGGAAGGAGGGTCAGGACAGAGTGTTTCTCCATCCTGCTCCCGGCTGGCAGGGTTGACATAGCTTGTTGCAGCCCTTTGCACAAGGTCACACCACCTGTTAGTTCTCTAGGTCTTTGGGTTCGAAGAAGCTCTCCTTTCCCAAGTTTCTTCTAACCTAGGGGTGCTAAATACTTCTCCAACATCCACACTCTGTGTCCCTTTTTAGTTGTACCCGGGCACTGCATTAACTGTTGTCATTTCCCTACTTCTTTCTTACGCTTGCTGCACTCTTTGAGTAATGACTTTATTAAATGTTTCCCAAATAGCTCATATTGGCATGCTATCTGCTTATACCCCAAGACAAGAACTCCTAGAGATCTGGTCTCTGTTGAATGTTGACATCCTTGGTTGCTCACACCTTGAGCAATGTTGACTCTCAGGCTTTGTCTGTGAGCCCTGATGGACGGCTCTGCCCTCTCCAGCAGCTCCATCACAGTCTTCTCTTCCATTTCCTACCTGCAGTTAGCCAAGTAATTCCCAGGGTTTGATCTTTCTCTCTCTTCTCTTCTGTCTTGGTTTTAGCTATGGCCTTTATGTGATTTTGTTCTTTTATTTACCATGAAACCCTTGAGAGAAAATAATCATATGTATGACACAATGCCTTGGTATTCAATGCTCATGATGGTTAATTGTACATGTCAATTGGCTAAGCTTTAGTGCCCAGATAGTTCAACATTACTCTGGATGTTTCTGGGAGGGTGTTTTGGGATGAGATGTATTTTTAAATTGGTAGATTTTGAGTAAAGCTGAGTGGCCTTCATAAAGTGGGTGAGTGAGCCTCAACCAGTCAGCTGAAGGTCTGACATGGACAAAAGACTGACCTCTCTCAAGCAAGAGGGACAGATGACCAGATGCCACAGATAGCCTTTGGACTTGAACTGAAACTAACTCACGACCTGGCCCTGCCGATTTTGGAGTTACCAACCTCTCATGAGCCAATTCTTTAATCTCTACCCCTCTCAAATTTTACAGATGTCTAACTTAGATTGACTGCAGATTATAAATTATTTAAGCTGGGCTGTGCATGGTAGCACACACCTATTGCTTTAGTCAGCTTTTTTTGCTGATGTGGCTAAAGGATCTGACCAGCACAACTGTAGGGGGAGAAAAGTTTATTTGAGGGGTCATGGTTTCAGAGGTTTTAGCCTGGAGAAGGCTGGCTCCATTCCTTGGGGCTTGAGGTAAGGTAGAATATCATGGCAGAAGAGTGTAGCAGAGGGAAGCAGCTCATTATCACAGTGATCATGAATCAGAGAGATAGAGACCGCAGCTCCAGATACAAAATGCATACTCCATAGCCACACCACCAATTAACCACTTCCTCCGGCTATACCTCACCAGCTTCTAGTTTACCACTCAGTTAATCCCATCAGGGATTAATTCATTGATTGGGTTAAGACTCTCACAAAATCATTTCTCCTCCGAATCTTCCTGCATTGTCTCACAGGTGAGGTTTGGGGGACACTTCATATCCAAACCATAACACTTATAATCCCAGTTTCTCTGGAGGCTGAGCAAGGAGGATCACAAGTTTGAGGCTATCCTCAGCAATTTAGCAAGGCCCTGAGCAACTTAGTGAAACCATGTCTCAAATAAAATATAAAAGGGCTGTGGCTGTGGCTCAGAGGTTAAGCGCCCTAGGTTCAATCTTTGGCACCCCCAAAATAAATAAATAAATAATAAAATAAAATTATTTAGGCTGGTCTGTATTTAACTGCATTGCTTCTCTCGCATCCAGGAACACATTTCAGAATGCAAGTTAAGGAGCATAACATCTCTGTAAGTGTGCACTAGTTTGTTTCCCACAAGAAAACAAAATTCTTACACTGATTTAAGCAATAAGTACATTTATAATCTTATATAACAAAAAGTCCAGAGCTAGGACACACCCCCTGTGCACCATGTCTAGCTTCCACAGTTCTCTTGCCTCTACCCTCAGACTGGCTCCCTGGAAATGAAGCTATTCCAGACCTTGTGACAAGGCATGAAAATATTCATGGGAATAAATATGATGATCTGTTTCTTGAAGTTTTTTTGCTCATAATTTGGGAAACTTTCCCCAGAAACCTCCTCCTTGCAATCTTAGTGGCCACCATTAGGTTCCTAACAATCTTGGGCAGTCCTGGGCAGGGAGAATGCCATGTTTGGCTCAAACAAACCAGAATCTCCTCTGGACCTGCAAATGAGTTTGGCTTCTGCTG